TTTAACATAATATTTGATTCGTTTAGGTATACATTTATAATTCTTTCAAAGATTTTTGATACAATTGTTGCTAAAGAAATAGGCCGGTAATTCTCTATACTAGACGCATCCCCTGTTCTATTCTTTATAATAGGCGCAACAATTGTTTTAATCATTTCATTCGGTAAGTAGCCAAAATCAATACATGCATTCATAAGATAACATAATTTTTCAATCAGTAACGGCCCACCATACAAAACATGCTCCACGCTGAGGCCGTCGTGGCCGGGAGATTTGCCGCGTTTCATGTTCTTAACTATTTTGTACAACCGATCAGGTGTGATTTGCATGATAGATGCATTGCTAACGGCTTGCGAGTGTGAGTGAGCGCGCGATACAACAACAGCAGTTCGCGGCGACTCCTCTCCCGTCCCCCACCGCCCCCGTGCCGGCGACGCCTCGAGTGGCGGCTGAGCAGCTGAGCGCTGCTTACAAATAACCGGTTTCACTAGTTTAAATTTAGTTATAAACATATTAGCTATTTCTGCTTGATTACAACTACCATTAATTGACATAGGCAAATTTGATTTATATTTAAGTTTGTTTGTTTCTTTCCAAAAGTTATAAAAATCATTTTTTGATCTATACATAGCCATTATATCTGCTTTTATTTTATTTTCATTGCGCTGGCACCATTTTAATTTGTTCTTAAAAGTTTTACGTGCGTTATACATAGCATCATATACCCTACCATGACTAGGACGGCCATAGAAAATCCAGGTTTGATATGCCTGTCTTGCAATTTGGTGACTAGAACTGATATGATGGTTCCATCCAGCTACTTGCTTCTGTTTTTTCCTTAACTTCCCTACATAAGACTGTACAGCCGCCCTCGCCATACAGCCCGTAATGTCATTGTACAGGTTTTCAATGAACTGCTTATGTTCACAATGCGATATGTTGCGCGAACCGAGCGTCATGAGACGACTACAGCTCTTTATGCATTTTTCAATCAATTCAGTATATCGACGAGTTTGTTCAAAATTTCTAGTGCCCCATAACACCCTGTTCACACACACATCGCTTGCATTATCTATTTTACTAATTACACTTTCTATATTAAACTCGACTACAAGAGGAAAATGATCTGACAAAAATACATCATTTATTACATATGCACTCGTGAACAAACGACTTGCAGAATCAGTCACTAAACAGTGATCTATCCAGCTATGAGAACTATGAGAGTCACTTTGATACGTATAAGTCTTGGACGCTAGTCCCAATAATGAGATATCAACACATACCCAGTTCTGTTCCTCGCAGTAACTCATCAACTCACGTCCAAAAATACTGTTCGATTTTGTTAAGTCCGCATTGTAGTCGCCGAGACACACAACATTTTCATCACAGTTATTTTCGATTACTGCACTTATAATCGCTAGACACTCTGTAAATAGTGGGATGTTGTCCGGATGCTGTGTCGGCATATATACCGACATGACGATGAAACTACGCTGCTCCTGTGCTGCTTCTCTGATGCTCACGCGCACGGCGACTACTCTCGACGATCCGGTTTCAATTGGCGTCACACATGTAAACAAAGATTTTTTCCACAGAAGGGCTACCCCTCCATAGGGCCGCCCTCTCAAAATGTCCGCTGTCGTATCCACCGCCGATGTTCCATGATATGCAAAATCCGGGTGAATGTTGTTTAAGAAGTCTATTTCTTCTGGTATCAACCAGTGTTCTTGCAATGCTATTATATCGCAGTTTTTACATAGATCTCTAACGTGTAAATATGTACGCTTTATACCCCTGCAGTTGAACGAGACAAACTTCGATATCATTATTATTTAGTTATTAATTATTAATGTCAATTCATATATATAATTATTTCGATCTGGTAGTGTGATTGTCTGTCATCACCTGTCGTTTCACTTTAAATCGCCTGTACACTATCCCAGACGGCCACAACTCTTCACTCAAAAATGACTCTTCCTGTGCCTGAATAACGGTCAATTTAAAAGAAGAAAAGTCGGTACTTTTGTACTGTGCAAGTTTTTCAATTTTTACGGGAACTTTTCCACTTTCCTGGAGAAATTCTTTAATATCCTCTTCCGTATTTTCAGGTAGGAATCTAGATACGTATATGTATGATAATCTAGGCACCACTTGTATTTTACCAGTAGTCAATGTTGCTTTTCCTACTTTGTTTTGATTTTTCCTAGCGTTGTTATGTCTGGTTTTCTTGTGTACAACTGTCGTAAAGCTATCGTCAATGATTGTGTCGTTCAAAGTCTGTTGTTGCGATTGAGATTCTGGGCTACTTGTAGCACGCAATGTCTTGTTGTGAGCGCGCGGCGTGCGTGGTGGTCCGTGTATAGGGTCTACCACTGTAGTAACAGAAATATCACGATACAAGTGTTGATGTTGATGTTGCGCTCGTTGTACTTTTGCCGTTATTTGTCCGTTGACAGGTTTTTTCGCGCCTACCTTCGTTTTTGTTACTTCCAACTCCGTGCCCTTGCTTTTCGTAATGTGCTTATTCTGATATTCCTTTCTTTTTTCAGGGGTATTTCTCTCCCTATTTTTGTCTGTCTCACTGTCGTTTGACACTTTCGTCTTATCTTGAAGGTTCTTTAACAGCTCACGAACGTCTGAAATATCTCTGTTTCGGATATAATCACACTGTATATTGTGTACGTCTTGCTTCAAGCTTAAAATTTCTTTCAGTAGCGTAGATACGTCTATATAGTCAAAGGTGACTGGCGGCAGCCGATGCAAGTCTTTTGCAACGAACGTAGGTAGCTGATCGGGCGCTGTTTCCTTGACGATACTGATGATGTCTTGTAGGGTACGTTTCTTTTTTCCTTCGGCCTTTCTTGAGGTACGTAAAAGGGAGAGTTTCGTTAGCACTTCTCTTGCTTCATCCACTTCTTTATCAGTAAATCCAGACTCACATATTTGTATGATGCTCTGCTCGTCCAAAACCACCGATTTGCATTGTATAAAACAAAGTAGTTCATTTATTATCAGTTTACACTGGGTCGTCATTTTAGAATATTACTTATTAAAAACATTTAATTGCACTATTTCTTGCAAAAAAACAGAACACTTATATGTGTAACGGTCGATATGAGAAAATCTCTGCGCGCGCTTAGCAATAAGTGGCGATCGAGCGAGAGTACCGCAACCACACGCGCCGGCGACGCGAGCGCAACTGTGATAACTAATAAACTTCTCGCTTTCTAAACGCGCTTTGTTCATTATTTTGAAAATGTACCTATTAATAATTTTAAATAGGAATATTAATTAATAGGAGTAACAGTTAATTAATTCTTAATTAATAATTCTTATTATAAAATAACGAACAAAAATATTTACAAAGAATAAGGAAATTTATTTCAATTCAAAATAGGGAACCCTTCTACTACAAAGGTGATGTTCTTGGCTGTATCATTTCGGTGGTAATTTTTTACCATTTCGGTAGACAATTTTCATTTCAGTGGACTGCCGAAAACTCATCCATAAATATTGCAGTAATTGGTGATTGTTGAATTTGACCCGTAGGTTCGTTTAAAATAGTAAAAAAAAACCATTAACAATATTTTTTATATTGCACCTTTAATTGCATTTTGTGCAAAAACTATGGGGACTACCTACTTTTTGTAGGAAATTAAATTTTCTACAACTTTGTACTAGGAACTTTTTCTATTTTTTCAGCCAGCCGCGAGATATTGATGAAAAACTCGTTTTTGCACCATTTCGCATTTTTTTTCACCCTTTGCCGTCAATGCAGCACCCTGCAATTTTAGTATATTAATCTAAGAACCCTTGCGGAAATTTTCGCGTTGGTTGCAGGTGATCAACTCAAAATGGCAAAGTTAAGCCTTCATTGACTGGACTATAGGTTTAGTTGAAATAAGATTTAGCAAATTTGCTGCAAGTGGGCCCTTATCTATTAGGTTGCGTTCTCCGTACCTTCCTAATTCCAAGTGCAAGTTTTTAATCGACAATTGCTCTATGAAAAGGCGATATGGTATCTTTTATTATTTTAATAAACTTTGAAAGAAAAATATCCACCGCGTTGCAAGGTTAACGCAACTTGGTCTTTCCCATAGACATAAGAGAAAGACTGAGCGGCACTCGTATGAAATTAACAACTCGCTAGAAAGAGAAAAAGCGATTTTGCAGCAAACTATACAAATTACGAGCCGTACCGTACGATCGCTTCTTCTCTCTCACTCTTATTTGCACAGTTTTACTTTACAGTTAGACAGGGAATTCCCAGTTCATTCTCTGTCTACGGTTGCAAAATTGTATAGTAGTGTCATCATCAGTTTGTTAACGTCCCCACCACATACAGGGGCACAGGCCTTCCCTATGGATAGAATAGGGTTACTGGGCCTTGACCCACCACGCGGGCACAATGGTGGGTGCTAACGACTGCAAATGAATCCGAAACCAACAGCTTAACGTGCTTTCCGAGGCACGGAGGAGTTTGAGATAATCAGTTTTTGCCCACCCCTCCAATGACCGACCATAGGGTATATTCCAAATATTTGTAAAGTTCTTGTATTTAAAGATTGGAACAAACGATTTAACAGAAAAATAAAAATTAAATAATTACCGTCTTTTTTTCTCCATTAAACCAATTAAAGTTGAATTTATTTTTAATGGTTTTGAATTTACCGCCAAAACGCTCGGTTCGATGACGTCTACTGTGTGACGTCAACTTTGTGTAAACATCAAGTAAAATCGAGTTAGATCGTCCACAGACTACATAGGTGTTCAAATTCTTTACATTAATTTATTTATTTTTATTTTTCTGTTAAATCTCAAACTTTAATAAACACAGGCAGTTTTCAAAAATTTGGAAAATGCCCTATTGCGAAAGTTGCTTACTTTCACCGCTAATGCGCTAATCACCTGCGACATCGAGCTCCTCCTCCTATAGTAGTTTAAACAGATATTATTGCTTAATATTGTCTTAGTTTAGATATAACAATTTTTTCCAGAACCAAATTACCGGTATTTGGTGGAGTTGCTTCATGTTCCTCTACAGTCAATTTACAATTGGCCGTACACTATGATTTCTGCAGTCAATGGAGATGGGCAAGTAATAAATAATGTAAATTAAAACGATATTTGTACTTATAGTTTTTGAATTGAATTAATTCTTTTTGAAAAATCCAATATGTTACTTAATATGGCTATAATTTTACTGTATTGTCATTGTGGAACAAGTCCAGTGTGCTGTAACAAATAATGTTTTTGTTGAATTGTAAACAATACAGTTGTTATGGCCTAATGTTTGAGTGAGATTGCCTTATATTTTAATAGCTTTGAATTATTAATATAGAAAAATTGATAGCTGCCTAATGATTGTCTATTTATTTATTATCTTTATATAATTTATTCATACAAGGATGTTTTGACCAAATTCTGATAAATTGAGGTATTGTTCGGATATTATTATTACTACTTATACGTTAAATGTCCAAGATAGTTTAGCTAGGTATGGTTAATTTCTGTGATACTTTACCGATTTGGTATAAGACATTATGGTATGGTTTACTTAGATTTGTATTCTTAGTTCAGTTCTCATTGTCTTTTCATTTTATATAATGCTTTTTGATGATAGACTTTATATTGTACTTATTAGTGTGTAATAGGCTAGTAAAGCGTGTGATTTTTAGAAATAAATGGGTTCATTATAATATTTTGAAGACATAGGTAGCTCTCTTAATTGGATGACAATTATATTAGCCTTTTTTAAATAACAAAAAGCCATATCATCTGCCTACGAAAAACTTCTCCATATTGTATAGTTATGTCTTGAAAATAGCCAGAAAATGTTATGTCTGTTGCAGTATTCAAAACTTGCACGCTCAATTTTTTATGATTGATATTTATTTATTTGAATTAAAAAATAACATATTAAGTATTAATACATTTTATCACTGCAGACATTGATAAAATATAAGTTTGAACAATTGTCAAATAACTAGATTGAACTGCAGTCGCCAGTGAGTAACAGTGATGCAAATAGGCAGAAGCTCAGAATGTTTTTCCCATATAAGGCAAAATGTAATATTTAGGTTCGACCTACTAATTTACTAATCTCTTACTTGCAAATAGACAAATTGTAAGTACTCCCTATGTTTCCGCGCACAGTAATCATACAATTAAATAGTCTTATAACAAAGCGTATTACTATTTTTATAATGGTATCTTAATCTCTTGAACCCTTTCAAACCTCACAAGAAAACATTGAGATATATATATAGCAAAATACAAGTACCTGCTGTGTAATCATTTCGGAAGTACTATCTATATGTTAATAAAACACACTGTTTTGTTTTAAACTTACTGGTCGGTAGGTATATAAAATTGGAACTTTACTTAAAGCCGTGGCCCGCCGCACCTGTCTCAACCTTATTTCAATTGTTTTTATTTGATTTTTTCATCATTTAACTGCTAGATATTGACATGTTTTAATGGTCGGTAGCATAATGGTCAGTGCATTCGCCTGGAATGTGAAGGGTGCGGGTTCGAGTCCCGTCTGCTGCCTGGTCCGCGTGGATTAGTAAAAACTTTTCTTCAAACTTATTTCGATTAGTTCAACTGCTATCATCCTTTTTACGATGAAAAGTGATGAATGCGTCTAGTGAGATGCGATGGCGTCCGTGATTAAACGCGGAATGAAACGGCATGACAGAAGAAACTACTCCAATTGTGTTGAAATAGTATGATATGTGAACTCGTTTAAATAAGGTTAAAAATAACTTGATTATGAAGAATATCCTTTGCTGTGCTCTGTGGCGACGACGGTCACCGTCGCGTCGGCCTAAGAGGGTTGAATGAATAGTTGTCCTCCACAATAATATTCAGTTTCAATAATCACACTCCGGTTAAAGGTATGCCTACCAGAGGTTTCTTGCTAACATATTTTTATTGTTAAGACTATATTAACAACTGTTGCTGAAGCAGAACCAGATTTATTCTTACCTTTTGATGGAGGTTAATGATTGATTCAATCATCGTGGGAGTAGGTATCGTTAATAGTGATCCGCTTTAGAAAGACACTAGCTTGTTTAGTAAAGTTGAAGGCTGGTGTACGGCGCCTAGCAGGTGATTCGACGATCAACCGTTTCTAATTTGATATTTATGCGTACAAACTTTTATATATCATCTACTGTCAGTGTGACTAGTAAAGGTGATTCATGTTATACTGTGGCGAGTCCGAGCCTTATGTGATGCACGGATTCATAATTTCACGTAGGCACTCTTATTTTTGTATGAAGCAATTCAACTACAAAGCGGGATTTTGGCACATAATCCTGCGTTCCTAATGACGCTAATTAGACAAAATCAAAACAACTGTGATGTTTAAGTGCGTCACCAAGTGCCATCATTTGAAAATATTTTATAAACGAGGCGCGGACATGGTACAGCATTTTTATAAAAGAAAACATCAATATTAAATAATTTGTACCCATCAATCAACCCATCATGTAGGTAACATGATTTGTATCTGGTTTGTTAGTGCGAATTACTTCATCGTTACCAGAAGACACTGTTGTCTGCAGATTTTTCCTGTTATTCAGATATATATTTAAGAAATCTCACAAACAACATTCTTATATTGAAGAGTTTGTAGTCTGTAGGATCTTGCCAGGCCTTGAAGTATTGACGTTTACTAATTTTCATCAAGTACCTACTTACTTATATTAAATACTCAAAATATTGTAAACTTAATTGTAGCTAAATCAAAAGTACTGAAACAGGGACACAAGTCGGCTGCTAACTGTATATGGAAACAACGTCTTGTACAAAGCGTATAATATGTAGTTAGTAGATGTTCTCCTATAGCTGACTTAAACCATACACAGGGGCGTCTTAACCATATGCGGAGCTCGGGTGCGAAAGCCAACAATGCGCCCCTTTTTCAAAAAATTTGACAAATTAATTTTTCATTGTATAGACTATTGCTACAAAAATATAGAAGAAATAAATCACATAAATATTGCGGCCGCACCTAGCGTTCCTATGGGAAAGACGCCCCTCACCATATAAACCGACTGTGATATTCTCTAAAAGAATACGGTCATATGTTCGTCGCTAATTCAGTCTGGCATTCACACAAGAATTCTCTATTACAACAGCAAGGTACCCACGCTAGCATTTTATCAGAAATTATTTGATTAATATTTTTAGCAATGAAACAGCATTTTGCTTTACATCCAAAAGATAAAAAATTAAGATAGTTAAAAGAGACAAATTATTGTTATATTTAAAGACGATAAGTCAAGCCAGTAGGTACTTAAAACACTTGTGAAAACTAGTTATAACTTCTTGTTATATAAATACACTCGGCGGCGTCAAAAAAATCGCACCTTTTAAAAATCTTCTTCAAAAATTCTTATTTAGAGATTGTGTATCATTAGAAAGGTAACAAAAAGGAGAATCAAAAAATCAGTAAATTAAACTTTTTATTTCATTTAACTTATACAAACAACATTAAAATTAAAATCCTTAATTAAGTACTAATTAACAACAGATAATTTACAAAGAAAAGTGTACAAAAAGTATCTTAAAATTAACTTAAAATCTAGTGTTGCTGGGGAGTAGCCCTGATGACAGCTTCCATACGATTCCTCATGGATCCCCCAACCTCAGGAGGTCTTCTTGAGGGATAAGCCACTTCTTTCTTCAATCACCGCATCTTGAAGCTCCTGTAGAGTCCAAAGAGCTGGATCCCGAGATCGAACCTTGCGTTTAAGATGATCCCAGAGGTTCTCTATCGGATTCAGGTCCGGGCTTCTCGCTGGCCACTGCATCACAGAGATCTGAGACCTCTGTAAGAAGTCACTCACGATAACTGCAGTGTGAGCGCGGGCGTTGTCGTGCAATAATGTGAACCCCTCGCCAAAATATTCGGCAAAGGGGACCACATGCACTTCCAGGATCTCTGTGACATAGCGGCGAGCAGTTAGCGACCCTTGTCCTCGAGCACTTTCAGTCCGGGAGACGCAGAGGTCGGTTTTGCCGGCAGCCGACACACCGCCCCAGAATATGCAGGATCCGCCCCCATATTCCATCGTCTCCTGGATGCAGGAGCTTCCGCAAAACGTTCACCCTGCCTCCGGTATACTCTTTTCCGTCGGTCGTTGCAGAAAAGCCACAATCGCGTCTCGTCTGAGAAGAGAACAGCTCTCCACTGCTCAAGGGTCCAATCGACGTGGTCACGAGCAAACTGTAAGCGGGCTCGCTGATGCGCTGCTGTCAATTTCGGACCCGTAGCAGCTCTGTGGGCCGCTATTTTTTTCTCCTTCAGTCTTCTAACCGTAGAGACGCTCACGGTGCGTCTACGAACTGCCTGAAGTTGCTGTTGCAACTCAACAGCGTTAGAGAAATGATTTCTCAAAGCGTTCGACACAAAGAACCGGTCGGCTCTTTCTGAAGTGCAGCGACGTCTACCGGACCCACGTCGGATATAGCCACCAGTCTCTGGTAGCACTGGTATACTCTTCGAACGGAAAAACGGCTCAGGTTCAGTTGCCGGGCAACATCACACTGCATGCGGCACCCTCCCTCCCCCCTTGATTGCAGTAGTGCAACCACTTGAGCGGCTTCATCAGCTGTGGTATACATCTTCGAGGTGATTTTTCTTCAGTAAAATCTGTGTGTGTGTCCTCTTCAACGGTTGAATAGCGATTAATGTGACTACATGTGCATATTAAGAGTGACATTTGAAAGTGATTTTCTAAGAGGTGCTATTTTTTTGACGCCGAGTGTAAAATACCGCTAACGAAAATGTGTTACTGCGTGTAGTTCAGCTCAGCAGTCTCAACCTTTGATCGCCACATCAATCTTATTAGCGAACAAAATAAACTAATTTTGTATCCCAGGGTATGCACGGGGTAAGGAAATAATAATGCGGGTCGATTGTATGACATTTTTTTAAAATTATCTTTCTCGTATTGTATTGTAAGTACTATTGATTCATCGTTTATACCATCTAGTTAGAATTTCTCATAATTTGAATCTCAAATATCGAGAAAATAAATAAAAAAATATACATTGTTAAACGTTGACTCAGCAGAACGACCCCATATCTATTATAGGAAGTGGCGG